TCCAACTTGGATAGAGGACGGTCCAGGGTATCCTGACAAATCACACAAATGGACTCATGACTTATTGCTGACGAGTCTACCTTAGTAGGCACTATATTGATGTACTGCAGCTCCATGGGGTGTATTGCCTGGTCTTGATGGTGGCTACCGTAATACACCCCGTTGAGGTACCACTGATAGATACCCTCCTCCTCCTGAGAGATGAAAGCAGGTCCATCTTCCCTATGCCGAAGGTTGTATCGGTACCACTCCCGTACACGATTGTTACCTTCCCTGCGTATCACCGCTGGCGCATTCTCCCTGTGGAGCCTTCCGTGGTGATACCACCGTAGAATACAGCATGTGGCGTCACAATAACTGACTGCAGGACCGCCGGCTCTAGACGCCGTTGAGGTAGTACTCGATGCTACCCCGTCCTATCCAAGCAGGTTCATTAACGCGATGAAGGCGACCTCCATAGCACCAGGCGGACACTCCCCTACTATCAACAAGAGCTGGTCCGTCCTCCCGATGGAGTCTACCATCGACGTGCCAAATTTCTTGCTGCGCGTTTTGATCTGCCAAGTCCACAACAGTTCTTATTAGCGTCCGCCTTTCTATTAGTAAAGGACCCGTGGTGAGAGACCACGACCGGTCGTCCACGTCTACACCGAATGTATCAGCCATATCTATTTACTGAGAATAATGTAACAACTCCTCCACAAACGCTTCTACAACTGACGTCTTCTTCATCCCCAGATAGGCGTTAGCCTTTGGGTAATCCTGAAACAAAGATTATTATTATTATCCTGGTTTTTTTTTCTTCCTCTTGGTGGTTTTGGATAAGAGTTGAAAAGTCCAAAAGGTCAACTGATGACCTTTGCATTACTTGGTATGATTGGATTTTAGCGGATGATGTCGGTATGCAGCTGGGGAGCGAATTCGACAGGAAGAAGGTAAAGGCCTTGCTTTGCGGTTCACACCTTCACTTCAGTATCATTACCCTGAAAAGAGTCCAAATGACGTTCACTTGTCACTGCGGTATCCGACTGACAGGGGTAATACCCCTATTCCAGCATCTGAGGCGGTGCGTCAAGCGCCGCCTCTTTCTCATAATATATTGTGACAAATGGTAAGTGTGCAGTGCTCCTAGCTCTCTCCCCCAACAAAAGAGCTCTATGACACTGTGCTTTCTGCGGTTTCTTTCGTTTTTACAGTGGAGAAAGGCTGGTGGGAGGCCAAGCCGTGGCCGCACATCTGGCGGGTGCGGCCCATCGAACCCGTTACTGGGAGGGCCGGCAGGTCGGGCTGCTGTTGCAGTCCGACTACCGGGACGCCATGGAGCGTATCAGGACCCTGTAAGTAAGCACTGCTCTGTCTACATGTATACTTATCCCCCTCGTTATAGCGATACTTACTTGTTTCGTATCCTCTTGTCTTACCCTGCTTCCGTATTCGTGACACTAATAGTGTTTGTGTGCGCTCATGCTTGGTTTTACAGATGATGATGATGTATGTATGAAGGTCTGGAGCTAGCTGCCGTCTTCGGGATGTGCCATTTGTTTCAAAATTATTTGTAAGTACTTGTAACAGGCGTAGTGTAGTAACTGTGTGTGTAGTGTAGTAACAGTGTGTAGTGTTTTGTGATGGTCCTGTGCTATAGCAGTCGTAATGTGTTGGGCTACTGAAGTACACTGCATGAAGGGGTATGTGTGGGTGCTTCGACACATTCTCGTGCTTCCTAAACCCTAGATACGTGTATAGCACTATAACCTAGATGTGTGTGCGCGCGTGCGTGTGTGTGTGTGTGTGTGCGTCCGCGCATGCGTGCGTGTGCGTGCATTGTGTTCTCTTCTACAGACTCATCCAAGTCCATTTACTTAGTAAATAAAAGTGTATTATAGTAAACAGTATTGTGTTTTGTTACGGTGAATATGTGGGGAATGGTGGACATGCCTTAGTGTGACTGGATACCCGCGGGTTGTGACTCTTTGCTGGCCACTCTGGATTCTCCAGTATAGATTCGGTACAGTGCAGAGGGGATTTGTGGTGCGTAGCAACACTGCTTCACTGTGACACCCCTTCAATAATTGTTTTGATGCATGATACTGCGGGCGTCGCCGGTTGATTCTAACTGAATTCCGATCAAAATAGAAATATGCATCTATTGCACCTGCATGGACAGTAGGCATTTCCCAAATCGGCCGGCCGAAAAATTCGCCGAAAAAAGTGGTTTTGAAGAAATTACCCATCTTTTCGCCGAATGTTCAAAAATTCGCATGTTGAATTCGCCGAAAACCGATGCTTCAGTGCTTCAACAGGGTGTATGTAAATGTACATGACGTAATGGGACCGGTGACTTCAAGTACTATGTCGAGCCGAATTCTGATCTTGGAGCTCATAATATGGCCGAATTTGAACATTCTCTTAACCGATCGAAAAACCGATTAGGCATGCTCTGTATGGGCAACTTGTCAGTGCACATCTACGATGTGCGAATAAAACGAGTGCATGGCACGTGAACTAACTAACACTTACTTGTTTGCTGCACATCTACGAAGTGCGAATCAGGAAGTAGTATAATGACACGTGTACTAGTACACCTTGTGTTGTACTGCGTCTTTCCCGCAAGCAGGGTCTCTGAAGGGTCACACGCTCCGCGTGCGTATGCACGCATGCGCAATATGTCATGCAATGCACATCTACGATGTGCAAATCAGGGAATAGTACGTATTTTACTACTCCCCGGTGCGAATGCACCGAACGTGCACAAGTGCACGTTCGCCACGGAAAAGAACCTTTATGGCACATTTATGGCATGCCAGGGGTCAAAGGTCAAACTCTGGGGGTCCCGGGGCCAGACCAAGCACGACCGACACAGTGTGCCTTATTTAACCCAAAGGTCAAAGGTCAAACCCTGGGGGAGTCCCGGGGCCAGACCCAGCACGACCGACACAGTGTGCCTTATTTGGCCCAAAGGTCAAAGGTCAAAAAGTGGCCCAGAACCTGCCCCGCACCTACTACTGACGTTACCCTACGGTCAAGGTGAGCCAGGCTAGGTTGGCGTCTTCGAGAGAATTGCTCGTGTGGCTGTTCAAAGTTGGCTCTACTAACACGGACAGAGAGGCCAATAAGATGGTGGTCGGACAGGCCATCGACGCTGTGAACAAATGTACTATGAAGAGACATGGGAGAGGAAGACGGAGCAGCCGTTGTCATTGTTGTCGGTATGAGTGCAAGGTCTAGGCATGACTGACTAGGAACTCTGGTGGGCTGTAGTATGACGTTTTGTAAGCTGTGGTCAGCGCAGAGGCCTTGTACATAGCGGGCGTTTGGGTGAGGTGGGACAGAGAGCATGTTGACATTGTAATCACCGAGGAGGAGGATGTCCGGACATGTTGCGGAGGCCATCTGCACGCTATTGTCGAGCTGCTCCCAGAAATCCACATGGCTGTCGGGAGCGCGGTATACGCAGCCGATGGATAGAAATGGATTCGTTCGGCTATGGGTGTGCAACCCAACGAATATGGTCTCGAGCCTGTCGTTTACTTGAAGTTGCCTGGATTTCAGTTGTTCCTGCACATACATGGCAACGCCGCCACCCTTTCTGCGATCAGCTCGGTCCCGGCGATAGAGAGTGTAGGCTGGTATAGCAAGATCGCAATTCATCACAGTAGAGTCCAAGCATGTTTCACTGATTGCTAGCACATCGATTCTCTACTTGTACATTATGCAATGGATTTCATGAGTTTTATTTCTTAGGCTACAGATGTTGATGTGGGCGATGGTTAAGCTCTTGATGGGTGAAGACGGACAATCAGGCACTGTTTGACTGGATGGATAGTTACAAGGATTTCTTAAAATGTGAGGTGCTGGGTCAGCGACGACATCTGTTGCTCGGAGATGAGGTGAAATAGCTGAGAGGGAGTGTTGCTGGTGATTACTTGGAGTAGTATAGTGCCGTAGGGGTTCTGATCCAAAAGTCACCTTTGACCCCTGGCTGCCTAATAAGGAAGAATAGTCCATATATGGCAGATGACCTTTGACCTTTGAGTTGACCTTTGACCTTTGAGGTACCATATAAGGCAGAATAGTCCATATATGGAAGATGTCATTTGACCTTTGACCTTTGGTGTTGACCTTTGACCTTTCCATATAAGGATGAATAGTCCATATATGGAAGATGACCTTTGACCTTTGACCTTTGGTGTTGACCTTTGACCCTTCCATATAAGGATGAATAGTCCATATATGGAAGATGACATTTGACCTTTGACCTTTGCTGTGACCTTTGACCTTTCCAAATACGGATGATTGGTCCATAGAAGGAATGTGACCTTTGACCTTTGGGATTGACCTCTGTGCTTGATAGAAGTGTCCTTATAAGGGAGGTGCACGTGGTTCAGGTCATATAAGGCATCTTCCATAGTGGGGAGAAGTGTCCTTATAAGGAAGTTGTACACGGATGACGTCATATAAGGCATGTGCCATAGTGGGGTGAAGTGTCCTTATAGGGAAGGTGTACACGGATAATGTCATAGAAGGCATGTGCCATAAAGGGGTGAAGTGTCCTTATAGGGAAGGTGTACACGGATGATGTCCTATAAGGCATATTCCATAGTAGGGTGAAGTGTCCTTATAGGGAAGGTGTACATGCTGTAGTTTTTAAATAAGGCATATTCCATAGTGGGTGGAAGATGCCTTATATGGCATGCGTATCCTGGCCAGGTCATATAAGGCATGCAGTTGAAACAATCATTGAGGTCCTTTCTGTCTGAGGCTTTGAAGAAAAGAAGCATCATGTAACAAAGCTGGGTTCGTACCCGCAACCTCTCGTACGGAAGGCATGAACTGTACCAAACGACCAGGACGACTACACACAAGACCCAAGGCTCAAATCGCCTATTTATACCCGGACCGTAAAGAAGAAAAAACGCATCATGTAACAAAGCTGGATTCGTACCCGCAACCTCTCGTACTGAAAGCACCAACTGTACCAAACCACCACGGACGACTATGCATAAGAGGGAAGGCTCAAATTGACTAGTTATACTAGGACGTATACATACATGTACATCCTCAGAACACTCGTTAACTATAATGTAGGGAATAAAAGAGGCAGAATGAATTGGCTACAAAAAAAAGTAACCCACACATACACACGCGCGCATGCGCGCACTCTGAAGCAACTGAATATACCATATATCATCTATCAAATAAATGAGGCAGACACACATACACATACACACACACACATACACATACACACACACACACACACACACACATACACACGCGCGCGTGCGCGCACTCTCAAGCAACTGAATATCCCATACATCACCTATTAAATAAATGAGACACACACACACACACACACACACACACACACACACACACATACACACACGCGCGTGCGCGCACTCTCAAGCAACTGAATATCCCATACATCACCTATTAAATAAATGAGACACACACACACACACACACACACACACACATACACACGCGCGCGTGCGCGCACTCTCAAGCAACTGAATTTACCAAGTCACTTAGGGATTAGCCGATGGCCGTAGGCTAAAGTTGTGATCCCATCATCAGCAATGTACCTTTTAGAATCAAAAGGAGACAGTGCCGTTTTCTTCATAGTCTGACCATAAATGTGGTGATGGTCACTTCGAAGACTTGGCATTGCTCTTGATATCGATGCCCCCTCCGTCAGGCACCTTCTGTAGTCTTCAATCGTCACCGTATCTCGCAACACATTCGTCTTCACTCCTTTTGCACGTTTGCCGCTTTCTTCGCCGTCGTAGGCATACATTTTCGAACTGCCGAAAAAAAAAAAAAAAAAAAAAAGAAGAGAAGAAAGAAAAATAGCATTTAATAGAAAATCTTTCAAACCCCCCAAAAAAGAAAAAAAAAGGCATTCTTATACCGAAATACATCGTGCACGACAGAGAGAGAGAGAGAGAGAGAGAGAGAGAGAGAGAGAGAGAGAGAGAGAGAGAGAGAGAGAGACAGAGTGAAAGAGACTTTAACTCACCGCAATCCGACAAATTCCGTGAGAAGTTTCCCGCCCATCTCATCCTTGAATTTTCCCAGCACTTTCTTATTTTTTTCTGTGTGGAGTGGGTGATCAGCCTTGAAGTTCGAGGTGTCGTAGTGATGTAGGTCTGTCATCATATCGTCCTGCATGCTCTGGGTCTGAATCTCAATGATCACACTATCAGTATCAGTGTAGAGCAGACGAATATCCTCACCATACCTCTTCTTCAGTACATGGTAGTAGAATGAAAACATGAGACACTTAGATAGGTCTAGAACACTCATGCCAACGTAAACCGGCTTATCCAACCGGACGCTCACTCGGTGGCTGAAGAGCGATATGAAAAGAAAGAAGAAACAAACACAAACACATACACACACACACACACACACACACACACACACACACACACACACACACACACACACACACACACACATATACGCACATAGGTGAACACCTGCTTGAATAGTATTCTTAAAGATGAAAAATATGAAAAAGAAAGAAGGAACTACAAGTTGGTGTAAGCATTATAAATATTCAATAAAGATCTAGTTTTTTCTTTCAGATGCATCAGAAATCCTCACCTACACACCCCCAGAAGATCATTGTCGTAGATAACGACACGGTCGAAACTAGGCTTAGCGACAGCTTTCAAGAGCCGGTGTTTCTCGTCTTCGGCTCTCATCAGATTCAAATTGACACGTTTCCTAACGTTCTCCATAGTCTTCCCGAATACTGCATTATTTAGCAACTGCAGTTGACACACACACACACACACACACACACGGAGAACAAAACTATTTTAGAAAAGCAGCATCAAAGAGAGAGAGAGCGAGATAGAGAGAGAGAGAGAGAGAGAGAGCGAGAGAGAGTTAGCGAGAGAGAGAGAGAGAGAGAGAGAGAGAGAGAGAGAGAGAGAGAGAGAGAGAGAGAGAGAGAGAGAGAGAGAGAGAGAAAGAGAGAGAGAGACAGAGACAGAAAGACATGCAGAGAGCACCCACCTTATACAAGTCTTTCTCGAAATCACTTGACGCCTGTTTTCTAAGCTCCGTATTCTTGCGGATGTAAGGCTCCATCCAAGGCTCTTGTTGGAACGATAGCACTTGACTCACACTAGTCACCTTCAGACCAAGCTCGATATACAGCTGGAGGTTTCTATAATGTAGTACATAGCTGGCTTTGTTGCATAAGTTTGGTACGAGCTTTGGCACGTTCAACCCCGTCACCTATACGGCATCACATGAGATAAAGAAAAGAAAAAGAAAAGACCCATCAGCACATGAACTCACGCGCATACATCATATATCCTGTATCATATCCAGGCAACAGACGTACAAACAACCTCAGTCATGAAAGCTATATAGTATCGATACAGTAGCACACGCACACACACACACACACACACACACACACACACACACACACACACACACACACACACACACGCACACACAACTATTTTACCTTCAACTTCTCAATCAATGTCCGCTGATATGGCGACATCATGTCTTCCGTCACAATCATTCGCTCTGGTGCTGGTGGATAATCGTTCAGATAGTCATGAACCTCCTCTGGCACGACTAGATCAACTTGCAGGAAGTAGCCGCGAGGTGAATCTATCGGTGACTTCAGGATAGTGTCCAGGAGTTCCTCTGTGGGCTCTTCCCACTGGAAGTCGGACACGGGCAAGTGCTGGGACATGGCCCAGCCATAGAGATTATTAGCATCTAAATACTGGATGTATGTCGTTGGTTTCGAATCATCGTATTCTTTCACTTCAGGGTTGTTCGCCCTGACATGACGGTGACTGACCATGCTGATTCCTCCTCGCATTCCACTTTCGACAAAGTTATGCATATCCACGTCTGTTAGTAGCTCCAACGACGTTTTTGTTGTCTTCAGCAAGGCATCCCATGCAAACCCAGGGAGCGTGAAATAATGTACGGGGTCCAACCCGTATGTCTCAAGAGCCATATCCCTGAAATGTTCGAAAACATCGCAGAGCAGAAGTACATCTGAAACATAAACACACACACACACACACACACACACGCACACACATACATACACAGAAGCAGATCATCTTTTTTAGTCTCCATGTCTTAAACAAGCCATGGGCGACCTATTTTCCAAGAGTCCTGGAATCAGGGTCTATATCAAACCTGTAAAGTATCAACTGGATCACAGGTGACTCTGTACTATATTTTCAACCCGGTCCAATCACCACCCAGCCGAGTCAATTACCCGGCTCACCCACCTCTGGAGCAGATACTGGGTAAGTGGAGAAGTAGACTATGACAACAAACAATTTTTTTTTTTTTCAAAATAATCGGTATTGTAATCGCTATTGTACTCTCACCTGTTGTCAAGTACAGATCATGATAATCTCCAAAGTTGTTGCAGTTGAAAACATCCCACACACTCCTGGCATGTGCATACTCATCATCGCTGACTCCCTGGATTTATACACATACGCACATACACATATACAGACACACGCACGCACGCACGCAAACACAGATGTGCGCATACACAGAGCCATATCAATATTCAAAGACCAGTCCATGGATAGGAACAAAGAACGACCACCAAACAAGAGAGCAGAGAAAAAGCAGGAAAAAACAAGTATCTTAGTTCATATGAAAACTTAATAATCTTTACCTTTCCAGAAAGAGTCGAGTGAAATGCTTCTTTCGGTGGTAAGGATAGCTCTTCGAAAGTGTCGAATGATGTGACATGTTCATATGGGTACACTCCTTTTCTCATCACCAGGGCGCGCTGCTCAGCTTGAGTAAAGTAGGCCTCTGTATGATGAAATGCATCCGTCGGAGTGGACTGTACGAGTTTGTCCAATGATGCATTCAGAAATGCTAGACTATCAAGGAATGTGAACTGACGCCACGTAAATGCAATATACTTCTCCGTGTTGGATGGAATTACATCAATCTTGCCGAGGTGTCTCGTCTAATTTTCAAAAAACAAGAAAGAAAGAAAAAACAACACGAGAAGAAGGACAAGCATGAGGTTGAGAGAAAGGTTTTTGATGAATGTCATCAAGAGCAACAACCATGAGAATAAGGAATTTTTTTCCAGCACAAAGGTATTCAATCAACTTACACGAATGCGTCCTTTACTGTCCGGATACGTTACAATGTCCGTCGTAGTCTTTCCGAGAGTTGATATGATGTGGTGAGCATCATAACCCTTGAGGTTGTGAAAGATGACTGGGATTCTAATCGTTTGAGGGCAAATTCTAAGTCTCAAGTTGCATCTATTATGAGCAGCTCCACGAAATTCACCCGTGATATGATCATGATCGGCCACACGATCGGCCAGGAGAGGCTCATCGCAAATCCAGCAATTAGCAGCTTCTTGGAACTGTTGTCTCTGCGCTTCAGTCATAGTCATAGGTAGAGGAGTGGATAAGTCATCTCTGATAGTTTCCTCATCACTTTCTAGCTCGAGGAGAAATCGTTCAATTGCATCAACGCCTGAGATGCACAAAAGCACATGCACGAACAAATACACACACACACACGCGCGCACGCACACGCACGAACACACACGACCGCACGAACACACGAATGCATACACACACACACACACACACACAGATCATTTGATCATTAACCATTTAACACCCATCGTCGGAGGTGATGATAGCGATGCTACAGCAGAGAGAGAGAGAGAGAGAGAGAGAGAGAGAGAGAGAGAGAGAGAGAGAGAGAGAGAGAGAGAGAAAGAGAGAGAGAGAGAGGCAAAAGAACATAAAGAAATAATGTTACCTCTGTAGAAGAAGCGTTTCGTTTGAAGTCCATCAGATCTGACAATGACATAACTGATTGAACACGGATGATGTTCGCTTTCACGCACCGTCTTTGCACCATGCTGGGTGTGAGGTATGATCGGAGTAATCAACGACTCACAATCTGCATAGATGACCTAGGATAGTAGTGTTCACATCACATCACATCGCATCATACACCCACACACACACACGCACACGCACACACACGCGCGCACACACACAAACACACACACACACACGCACACACACACACAAGAATCTGTGTTTGTAACCACATCAATTGCACTGGAAAGTGTCCATCTATATCAAGAACATATCTAGGGATTATAATGTACTTGCATGTCTATACTATGTGCATGTTGACTCAAGGAACTAGATGATACTAAACAATAGCACATGCAAGGCTTTAAAGAATAACTTACATAGGGGCATTTCAGTTGCTTGTGATAATTCTTGAAGCAAACGTGTTCGCCTTTCTCTGGCAATATCGTCCTTGCAATGTGATGATTCGAGCAATAATTGAGATGCTTGGCCAGCATTTCCTCAGAACCATGGCCCGATAGGCAGCGCATACAGTAGTGTGTTTGACTGTTATACTTGGTGCGATCAGAACACAGGCTGTTGAAGTTCTTGATCCATACCCAATGTCTTTTCGTGCCACTACTTATCAACATCAGGTTCACAGCTAGTTCCGGGCTTTTGCTTAGTTGCAGAGGATACACCTTTTCATCATCGTCCACCCCGAACACATTGATGAGCAGCCCATTCATCTTCTCTACCTGCATGCATGAAAATAGAAGTATGTTCATGCACCAAACAAACACACACACACACACACGCACCGCACGCGCGCTCGCGCACACACACACACACACGCACGCACACACAAACACACGCACACACACATGCATATCAATGAATAGTACTCTTACACTCCTCATGAACTATAAAAAAAAAACACCTCAGCTAAGTTTGATATTAACTCACCTTCTTGATATCTGACAATTTTGCAGGGAAATCCACACCTGTAAAGTCGAGATCTTGCGCATAGGGAGCATACTGGCTGACACGCTCAGTATGTAGCTCTACTGGATGCAGCGCTGAAAGTAGGGCCCACCTTCAAATAGCAATGCACGCACACACACACACACACACACGCACACATGCATACACGTGCGCATGCACACACATATACACATACACACACACACACACACACACACACACACACACACACACGTAGGTGTACAAGCATGAGTAGTTACAGTAAATCTGATGTAGTACTTGGACTTGACCATCATCACAACCACATACATTACGAAGAAACTCTTCTGGTCACAATTGCATTGGGAAGAACAGCTCGTACTCGGATTTATCATGTACACCAGGTAGTGATCACGTGTTTACATATTCCTACTCGTACTCACTTTAGACACTGCTCATCATCATTTCTCACGTTTACAATGGCCTTCTTCAACTGGAGATAGCGTGGTAGAGGGAAGTAGGAACTACCTCGAAGTGGGCTGTATTTAGCCAAGTCGACAAACATCCTGATAACTCCATCTATCACCCACCCAGATCCCTCATTCACCCACGTATCGAGCTGTAAGAATAACAGGATAAGAAAAAAGAAAAAGACATACGAACAACGATCCACCAGAAAATATGTCGAGCACACTGCGAGAACTGATTCCGAACAATCGCTCTCTCTCTCTCCGTCTCTCTCTCTCGCATAGTACATCAGCATCCATAGAGTGGAGAGCACAAGCATGCACACTGTTATTATTCACACTCAGCTCAAGTCGAGAAACAGCTGGAAACAAACAACCCATAATGTTTTTGTTCACTGCAAACTATCAACAGCATGCAAGATACCATGCACACGCATACAGAACTAGAAGTAATTTTTGAATTTCTTTTGAATTTTATTTCTCTCTTTCTTTCTTTTTGCGGATCGTTCGATGAGTAACATTACGTAATTACGTGTCGCCCGTCGGCGTGACGGTGACGTCGCGATCTCCCATGCGCAAACATATCGAAACCAAAAACAACGGTGAAAGAAAAACAACAGCTCCAGAACGAATGCCCATTTTGGCTCTGCGTACGACATACAAGCCAGCCGGTTGTACAAACAACTACAACTAGAACGGATACGGTCTGTGTGTGTGTGTGTGGGTGATCCTTTCTTCTTCATCATAGATTATGCATATATGACAATCCGGTATCTCCGGTATAGACGGTACCGTACTCACTCGTCTTTCGATGTCGGCATAGGACGAGTCTAGCGCATCACGAATCTCGTGAGTGTTCAGCACGGTTATCGTCGTGTTTCTGAGATACGGCTGTGCATGTTTAACACCTTCTTCGCCCTTGTCTAGTTTCAGCAGAATCTGTAACAGTTCCCTGTTAGCGCTAACCTTATCTGCCCTCTAGCTCTGTATCTTGCACCTTTCCCTATCCTGTCAGCACGCGCGTTATCACCTTAGGGCACGAAGTGCCCTATATCAGTTGTGTTGCCTTGAGCAAGCATTGTCTTTTCCAAGAATACCTTCAAACGGTTACACTGGTAGCGGAGGATGGTTAACATGGTGTTCTTGGAGCTCGCCATTGTCGTGGCGATCCTTGTTTTTTCTGTGTTGCTATTCAGGTTGGCCAGCGAGGTCCGTGAAGCCAGTCGCCAAGTCAGCGCCCGTCTGAGCAACCGACAACAACCGCTCCCTGTGCCGCCCGCTCATTCGTCCGGGAAGCCTCGGCACGCTAAGGAGCCGCCGATCTTCGATGGCAAGCCCTCGCAGTTCAAGGAGTGGGCTTTCTCCATTGAGCTGGCGATTCGGTCACTGGGAATCACCGACTCATCGGTGATGGTGGATTACGCAGCGGGCTTCCTGAGCGGCAACGCCAAGCTATGGCTCATCGCATCGTTGGATACGGGTGTGGAGTTCTCGACGTGGCCAGCGCTGCGTGAAGCCCTCGCCAAGGTGTACGGTCCGTTGCATCATCAAGAGCGGGTGCGACTGGATCTCTTCGCTGTCAGGCAGCACTCAAGCTTGGAGAGCTATGTCACCGAGTTCTCGCGCCTAAGCCTACAAGTGCCTGAGATCGACGAGCTGACCCGAGGACTGCTGTTCGTAAATGGACTGCACCCATCTGTCAAGACCCGGGTGCTGCGAGAGCACCCCACTGATCTGAGCCAAGCGATCAGGTCAGCGCAAACGGCGGACCAACAGCCGAACCTGATTCAGCACCGAAGTCAGCCCGTACGACCCCAAAGGCTAACACCGGAGGAGAGGCGTCACCTGAGTCGGCAGGGTGGATGCTTCGCTTGTCGGAAGCCAGGTCACCTAGCTCGGGATTGTCCCAGCAATCAACACCCAAACGCTGGTCGCCAGTGAAAAATGGCGTGCGCTCGCTGGCGACCAAGCGGAAAGCACCCAACGGTTACCCGGTTGACATACGCAACCGTTACAGCGTACTAGAGCTGGAAGAACCGACGCTGCAAGCTGATTCGGAAGATGTTGCCGAACAGGAATCCCATGTCAGCAACGTTGATATCGCAGTACAGGACACGGAGCTTCCTTTGGAGCATGACCTTCTCCGTGTTGAGGGCAGGATCAACGGCCGCCGGGCAATTATGCTTATTGACTCGGGATCGACGCACGACTTCATATCGGAAGCTTTCGTGCAAAGAAACGGCCTTGTTACGGAGAGCAAGGACGAAACACTGAAGGTAACCCTGGCTGATGGCTCATCGACATCATCGGAACTGCAGAGGACCGGTCCGGTAAAGGTTATCGTGAAAGACTTCAGCGACACCCAATCTTTCACAGTTTTTCCGTTGAGCCGCTATGATGCTATCCTGGGCAAGCCATGGCTGACCAGACACAACCCGGATATCAACTTTCAGACCAACGAAGTCAAACTGAACGGAGAGCCGCTCATTGCTAAACCCCCTTCCAGCCAAAATAGTGATACGGAGCGTCAGGAGTCGCCGCCAATTGAGAGCATGCTCATATCTGGTTCTCAGGCTCGCCGCGAGTTGAGGAAAGGCGCGCAGGGAATCCTGGCGTGGGTCAACGCTACTGACGACGAGGAGGAGGACAGCAAGCCATCAGCCGCCAGACAACACCCAGATCATCAAGAGCAGCTGGCTAACCTTCTGCGGCGGTACTCGGACATCTTTCCAGACGACCTGCCGACCGAGCTTCCGCCAGAGAGGGATGTCGACCATGAGATTGTGACTGAGGAGGGTGCCGTTCCTCCATCACGGGCTGCCTACCGTCTCCCCAAACCCGAGATGGACGAATTGCAAGCCCAGCTCACGGAACTCCTCCGCAAGGGCTTCATCGAACCCAGCAAGTCACCATACGGTGCCCCAGTCTTTTTCGTTAAAAAGTCTGATGGCTCATTGCGCATGGTTTGTGATTGGCGGAATTTGAACAGGATCACCATCAAAAACAAAGCTTGCCTCCCAAACATTGATGACCTGTTTGATACCATTCAAGGTAGCTCATACTTCAGTAAGCTGGATTTACGCTCGGGATATAATCAGCTTAGGATCCGTCAGGAAGATGTACCTAAGACGGCTATCAATACTCCCTTCGGTCATTTCCAGTTCCGGGTTATGGGCTTTGGATTAACTAACGCCCCTGCCACGTTTCAGTCATTGATGAACAGTATTCTCCAACCGTACTTACGGCGGTTTGTGGTAGTGTTTCTGGATGATATTCTTATCTTCAGCAAATCCTGGCAGGATCATCTTGAACATATCCAGACAGTTCTTGAGACGCTCCGGAAAAATAGGCTATTCTGTAAGCAGTCGAAATGTGAGTTTGGTGTCAAGGATGTTCTGTTTCTAGGGCATCGCATCGACGGTGAATGTATCGCTCCAGATCCAAAGAAGCTTAAAGCAGTGAGGGAATGGCAGCCACCGACGACAGTTACGGAGGTGAGACAGTTCCTTGGTTTTGCGAACTACTTTAGAAGATTTATTGAGCACTACTCTACTATATCGCGGCCATTAGAGGAGATCACTGGCAAACATGCCAGGTTCGAATGGAGTGGCCCCCGTCAGCATGCATTCGAATCCCTGAGACAGGCCTTGTTGAGTGCACCGCTGTTGAAACTAGCAAACGTGCAGAAGCCTTTCAGAGTTGCAACAGACGCAAGTGATTTTGCAATAGCAGGCGTCCTTCTCCAACAGGGGGAAAGCGATAGTGCTTGGCATCCTGTGGCATATGCCAGTCGTAAGCTGTCACAAGCGGAGCGAAATTACACTGCTGCAGAACGCGAAACCCTGGCGGTGGTGTTTGCACTGCGATCCTGGAGAATTTATCTATTCCAGCATTTTGAAGTGTTCAGTGACAGCATGGCCGTAGTCTACTTGAGCACAAAAGCCAATCTCACTAAGCGCGAAGCTAGATGGGTTGAATTTCTTGCAGACTATGACTTCACAGTTAATCACAAACCCGGCAAGGAAAATATGGCTGATGCGTTATCCCGCCGCCCTGATCTGCGCGGGTCAGCAATTGGCAATGTAGTTGAGGAAAAGGATTGCCCACCCATCCTACCAGCACCCCATCTGAATACGATTGAGTTTGCTTTGGAACTGAGTGATAGGGTTGCTGAGATGATTTCGGAAGCATATCAGAATGACGAGCAGCTTTCCCCAATAATTCAGCGGCTGCGCGGCGATTCCTCTGATAATCTACACGAGCGGTACTATTGGGATGAAGAGTCCAGGTACCTATACCTCCGTGCAGCACCAAACAATCGCTTGTGTGTACCCAAGTGTGCAGTAAGGCTTCAGCTCCTGCAGGAGTACCACGACTGTGTTACGGCAGGCCATCAGGGACGGGATCGTACATATTTCCGGCTTCGTCAATTCTTCTACTGGCCCAAGATGGGCCTTGACGTGAAGAAATTTGTTAAGTCTTGCGGCATATGTCAGCGCACTAAGGGTGGGTTGCCTAGATCCGGTTTGCTGCAATCGCTCCCAGTACCAGACACCCCCTGGAAAGATATTTCCATGGACTTTATCGTTGGCTTACCCCAGACCCCTCAGGGCTTTGATGCAATTTATACATTTGTTGACCGGCTTACAAAATGTGTCCATTTAGTCCCCACGACTTCCAAAATTGACGCTAAGGGTTCTGCTGATTTGTATCTCCAGAATGTGTTTAGATTACACGGTTTGAGTTCCACTATTGTTTGTGATCGGGACCCAAGATTTACTTCTGAATTTTTCCGGGAATTGTTTCATCAATTGGGTACCACCTTGTCGTTTAGTACTGCCAATCACCCACAGACCGATGGGCAGACTGAGAGAATGAATAGAGTAATTGAGGATGTGCTTAGAGCGTTTGTTAACCACAAACAAGATAATTGGGACAAGCTTCTGCCTCTTTGCGAATTTGCAATTAATAGTTCATATCAGTCTTCCACTTCTAGCACGCCGTTTTATCTAAATTATGGACTTAATCCCAAGTCCCCGCCAGATTTCCTGGCACGGAGGGGAGGAGGGAGTGCCCCAGACTGGCTCCAGGATCGGGCGGATGCCGTCAAGTTGGCAAAGGACGCCATGATTGCCGCTCAGGCTAGACAAGCTCAGTATGCAGACAGGGGAAGGGTGCCCAGCAACCTGAAGGTTGGCGACATGGTGCTGGTGTACAAGGATTTCCTAACAACCGCAGAAGCCCGGGATCAGCCTTCACAGAAGCTACGCCCTAAGTGGTTCGGGCCCTACCCAATCATCAAGAAGATCGGACCCAACGCCTATCAGCTGGAT